GGTGCACCTCAAAGTTCACAGTGGAAAGATGTGGAAAGATGTGGAAAGATCCTCGACAGCAAAATTGCCAATAGCAGCTGCAGCAACGATTTCTGATTTTGGTGCCATTGGTTTTGGGTTTCCCTTTCCAACTTGCGGTGCAGATTCCGGGGTCGGAATGTTCCGTCAGAGAAGTGCGGACTCGCTCACACCCGGCTGTGGCGTACCATACGGAAATCTCTGCGCAACTCCCTGGGCCGAAGCCATCCGAAAGTTCTTGGAGATGCTGAAAAGCAGCCTGGCAGCCACGTGAACTATGGCAACATATGTTAAATTTTAAATGTTAATTAGAAACAAAATCGAACAAAATGCACCACTTCTGGTGGAAATGTCATGAAATGTCCAAGATGTCTTGCCCAAGTGGCTCTGACTCCGGCTGTGTCTTTGCTTTCATCAAGCCGGGTGGTGCCGCAAGAGCACGGTTCGGGCAAGCATTATCAGCCTGGCATGCCATTAGGATCAAAGGGCTAGGAGGCTGGAACGTGACAACATTGAACATCACTGAAAAAGGCCGAGTCAGACTGCATGATGAGAATGAGAATTATCATGATCATTCATGATCATTTGTGATCATTCATGATCATTCATGATCTATCATCATGATTATCATGATCCACTAGTTGATGTTGACTATTCGGATCGGTGCCTCAGCCTCTGGAGGAGGTCGTCTTCTGAACAGGATCTGCGACCCGGACCCGGCCACAGAAAATCTCAAAAGGAACCGCTGTATACATTCTACGGATAGATACTATGTATATGATATGTACATTATACACTAATATGTGAATATATATACACCTGTGTAAGTATAGATAATATAGCTCTATGATGCTCTATATATATATACTGTACATGTATATTGAGTATACTATACTGTCAGTGCTCCAAACGAAGTGAAGTTTCTGTTTCAGTTCCATGTTCGCGGTCCTTGTGAAGCAGATCTGCTTCGATCGTCCTGCCACAGTCTGAATCAAATCCCTGCAGGCTTAGGCGCTGATTTTTTCCGATTCCCAGCCTGGGATCAGCAGACAGGAAGTCATCCTGGTCGAGATTTTCTGGTGGCCATTGGTATCTTGTGTATCTCAAAAGATCTTGGGGAATGGAAACATGTCACTAAACTGTCGAAGATCAGCCCGAAAAAAAATTGACATTGGAATGGCCTGCTCTGGAGACTGCACACGCCGCAGGAGCTCCTGGCAGTTTATTAAAATGATAAAAAGATAAAACTGCTGAAGTCCGGAACCGAGGGCCTCATCTTCCAACTCAAATGGAGACTTTTCTCTCCTGGCACAGCTGAAGATTGGATGAGGTTGGAGAAGATTGGATAAGGATAGGAGGTCTTCCATATGTGAAAGAACATGATTTGGAGATATAGTTCAGCATGTTGGAGCCATGTTTCAGAATGAATCATGATGAACGAACCAAGCATGATTCATGAGATTCAGATTTGGCATCAAATCAACCCAATCAACCCAATCAACCCCAGCCCCATACCCCCCCCTAGACCCCCCTACTAGCATATATGTTAAGTAGCTACATGTAGCTACTACCTACTTAGTAAGGCCTTAGCAGCCTTTACACCTTAGGATCTACTTCCTAGCCACTTACCCAGGTCAGGAATGCTTACTAAGTACCCTGGACTCCTTAGTAAGACCTCATTTGTTTGCGAAAAGTGGTGAAGGCGGAAAAGAGGAACAGGATCCTCTAAGAAAAAACGTCTCAGGAGTTTCAGTAAACACGCAGCAGTGGCTTAGTAAGGCCTTAGTAAGGCCTTAGTAAGGCTTTAGTAAGGGCTCAGTGGGGGCTTCGGTGAGCCACAATAGAATCCGGAAAAAAACACCAATGAAAACTTACATCGGAATGATGTTGTGGCTCCTTGTTTGAACCAACCTTGCAGTAGTCTCAAACAGCCAACTCATTTCCCAACCTGTGATTTCAGGGGGGGGCGTCTGGGGGGTATAGGACCCATGAAGACTGGCCTATCCCATCCCCATCTAACCCCCCACCCCATCTCCAGGACAGTCGCGAGGGTCGCGCCGTTGTGGGCGTCGTCGCCGCCCTCGAGCCACAGCGGTCGGAGCAGGCGGAGCTGGACTGGCAGACGGTAAGTCGGATGGGTCAGGGAATGGTTTGGTCGGGAAACCACCGAATAAACCATGAAAATATGAGGGAAATAAGCATAAATAATCAACAAACATATTTTGGATGTAATCAATGCAGTGAATTTTGTTCAAGGGGAAATGTCATGGAAAACCGTATTGTTTTTCTGATGCTTTTGGGCGCCATTTCTCTGCGTTTCTGGTGCACAGCTGCCGGGTATTGACCTGGAACCACAGCATGAGACTAGTTCAAGCAGCAAAACAGTGCACGCCACCCGGGCGTAGTAGTCCAAAGCTGCACTCCGGGCCAAAGGCGCAGCAACACCCTTGGGATCAGGCTGAGATTGACGGCATCACCACAACCACAACCACAAAGAAACAAACACACAAGAACTGTAGAACAACAAAAAGAATTCATAAGTAGGGTACCAGTCAACCCATTAATTTTATTATTGTTATTCAGTACTAATTACCAATCGTTCGTAAGTATTGGCGGATCATTCTGATCATTCTGAGCAATCCACTTGGAGGCAAGCCGAAGGTGTAGCACTCCTGCAGCCATTTGCACACAAGCTTCATGCTGGAGGCGTTTTTCATGGGCTTATGAACCCCAAATACGACGTAGATCGATGTCTTTCATCCAAACATAGAGGTTTCCTTACTGAGTTTCCCTTGAACCAATTCTGGTGAAGAGCAAAGACCTTGGTTTCGGTGGGGGTCCCTGAATCTTTACCATCCAAAGGGCGGGATGACATGACATGCCTGGCTCGCTCATCAAGCCACTGAACGGGCGTTGGCATACGAGACGTTTGCATATCCCAAAACTCAGGCGGGCGGCAATGATTTGTGATCGCAAAATATTCACATCTATCCTTGGAACAAAAAAATGGCAATGGAAAATCCTCCATGAAAGTTGATGAAATTTACCCGTTGGTACTTTGGAACTTCCCATTGCCTTCTTATGTTGCCAAGGTGTATCCAAAGTCCCAAAACTAAGGCTGTAAATGAATACGTGGCCACGCTAGACAATTGAGTTTAGACCAGGAAACGGTTTCAACAGATCTCAAGATCTTAAAAAATCTTTAAAATGTGTCTTTGTAACTATCTGCTCGAGTTGCATGAAGCCACAGCTGCTGGAGATCTGTTGTGCCCTTGAGATCTGCACCCCAATTCGTGAACTGTCTTCCGGCGCCCTACAGGTCGCAGTTCATTGGGATGACATGTGGTAAGATGTGATACTCACAAACGTCACGAAGATATAGAGAAATATCGCTGTTGTTACCTTTATCATTTATTAGGATTCTTTGGGTTAATGATTGGTCAATGAGTCAATGATTGGTAAATTATGATTAACAACGATGGTTAACAATGATATTGTTTAATAATTACAGATACTTATTGGTAAATTGGTGATCATTAGCCATGATTAATGGGTGATTGGCAAAATGATTACTGATGATTACAGATACTAATGATGGTTAAATGATGGTTAAATGATTGGTGATTTGCTCCAGCTCATTCTTAAAAAGCGCCATCGCCGCCCCATGGCCTGTTGGGAGTCTCCGCTCGGCTCTCCGGCGCTGGCGGCGGCGTCAAGCTGTGCTTCCAGTGCAAGGGATCCTGGTGGGGATTCGGATAGATCACTACAGTCACTACAGGGATGTACCAAAAATGTCCAGGATTGGAGAAAAAATGCAGAAGGCGTAAAAACATAGTGGAAAATGGAAATGATGAACAAGAAAGGGTGGAAAATGCTGAAACAAATCTGCAGGTCGTGGACGGTCGTGGATGCCATTTGACATATTTGACCATCTGACCAGTCGAGCTCTACAATCTCTACAGCCCAATCCCGCGCACATCAGGGCGCATTTTTGTTGGTCGCATGATGCTGGGCTGCTCACTCGTCTCACTCATCCTGATTGTCAGGCTTGGACAAGGCGACAGACACAGCCATCACGGCCACCACAGCACCCGCCTCTGGCTCCTCCTTCACGCCTGGCGCAAAATGAGACTATAGAAATGGGCAACTTCGGCCATGAGGATTTGTGATTTGGGCAAAAGTTAGGCGCATTTTGTATCATTTGAACATCTGCAGTGCCTGCCCGTTGGCGAAGGCCTTCGCCGACCTGTGGCACGCTGTGCCGTTCCATCTCCCGTGCCCTCCGCACAGTCACAGGGCCTGCGCCAGTGTGAGGCGGGCCTCAGCGATGTCGTTCAACATTTCTGAATGTTTTCCGAAGTGGGAACTCTCCCAATTCCATATATTCTAATAATTGTCCACTCTAAGATGTTTATGTATGTACATATATCTCTATATATATGATTACATTTAAACCTTCCTGAGTTGTTCTTTTGACCGCAACTGTGTCCCCTGCTGGAATCTTCAACGAAGGAAACGGCTTCTTGGACCTGGTGCAGCAACAGCGCAGCTCGCAGCGCAGCTCGCAGCTCGCAGCCGCACCTCATCCGTGACACCAGCTGCACCAGCATTGCAGCGCAGCGCGCGTCCCCGGCAAAGGCACGGTTCAACTTGGTGGCACACAGCAGCCGACGATAGAGTGGACCAAAAGGACGATAACCATGATATACCAACCATGATAACATGGAATAACCATGATAACATGGAATTACAGTATGTGTTTTCTTTCCAACTGAGTTTTTGGAAAAGATGAATAACATTTTCGGTAACTGTTGGAAAGGAAACTTTCCCAGGTGACTTTCAGAGCCCCTTTGCCAAGGGCCAAACCAGCATGTGCACGGCAGCACCACCTCCCAAGGCCTCGCAGGAAAACTATAACAATATCCAACAATCGAACAAATATATGAAGAAATGCCCCACTTTATGGAGAATTAGTATACTATATTAATACACACACATATATATGTATATACATATATACACATATACATATATCATATATTCTGTTTTTTTGTGTTTTACCTATCCAATCTTCAGCGCTCCTCTGGGTGAACCAATTCAAGTTCTTCATGGTCGCACAGAAGCTCGGTTGCTCCTGCCGCCAGTTTTCACATGTTTCACATCAAAAAAGTTTGTTTTTTGGATGTTCATTTGAGCCATGGTCAAAAGTTGGATTTTGTCCATCGATACCAATCTGACTGGGGTGGCTTTGAATGAGCCGATTTTTTGCAGATCTCAAACCGATGATTCTGTTCGACATGCTGCCTGAACCGACAGCAGCTGAGAGATACAATCGATATGCTGCGTTCATAAAGCAGAAGAGGAAACTGAGACGAGACGTGGATGCTGTTGACGATAATTAGGTGCTTGCATGTCTTCTTAAGTAAGATGGATTTGTGTCTATTACCTGCCACCTGCGCATGGGATTAGAGAGTGTGTAGTCTCTCAGACTCACGTGCCGGCGTCAAAAGTTGGATTGTACGCTGTCTAGCGCCATATTAGCCATTTTGTGGGATCATCAATCCATCACATTTTTTGGGATTCCCCTAACGGTGGGATGACCGTAAACTGCCGTTCTGGGCATACATCCGTTCTGTTCATCCCCGCAGTCCTGCTGGATAGATTGGAATGACACAAGGCACCTGACCGTGGATCCCCCGAAGAAATGGGACTGTTCAATGGAAATATATACAGCGTATATACATATATATTATAATAATATTATATATATATATATATCACAATTATATGTATATAATATGAATATATATATATGTATATATGGGAAAATCATGAACATTGCTGCCCCATTCTTGAACCATGAAATGGGAATGAAAATTGGGGACATGCCCAGTGGCGGCCCAAAAAGAACAACGCCACTGCGCACCTTCATGTTCTGCACCGCCCTTGAGATCACTGCACTCATCACAACACCCGTCTCGTAGGACCTTGCTGGCTAACGGCTGAGCAGCCAGAACTGACAGATGTTAGAAAAGAAACACATGGCTCTGGGTAATAGATTTGCAACCCACCAACGGTTCATTATCTTTTTTTTAGGATCAAACATGTTTATATATGTAGGACATTGTAGAACTATCTATTCAAGTCTGTTCATGAATTACCCCAGAATTAATGACCTCTGAGGGGTTCTTGAAGTTGGGGTACCTGGGGTACCCCAAAACCATTGCTTTTCCCTTGAAAATGACCCAAATAAATTGGATGATTTTGAGGTTCCCCAACTTCAGGACACCAGCTGAGCTCCGGGCGTATTGTCGCCAAGAAGCAGCAACCTGTCACAACTGCCACGACTGTCAAAACGCCGTGAAACAGCGGAAACCAACCATCACCAACCCAATCAATCAACCATAAATTAAGGGAGTATCTCCATTTCAAATTTCTAATATTTCGATATATTTTGCCAGTGATATTACAATTTATATATATATATATATATATGTGTGTGTGTAAAATGGTATATTGAAATATCCCAAATCATCCACCAATCCAAAACACCACCAGTGCCAATCAGGCCAGCTCTCACCCTTGCTCTAGGAGAAGCTTCTGCACGGTTGGAGAGAGTTGGAACTTGCTGTCCTGTGGCAGGTCGGATACCGCCCAAGAGCCCATCTGAAACCGCCCAGTTGTATCTTTAACAAGAAATGGCCGTAGCTGTTGAGCCACCATTTCATGAGGAAACCGCACCTGCGAGTGGCTGGGTCTCAATTTCACCTCAAGCTGCAGCTGATCCAAGGAGAACTTGGGCCTTGGAGCGATCCCAGGGAGCAGCTGGATATAGCTGGATGGTAACTTTGTGAACTTTGTGAACTTTGTGAACTATCAAACTTTACAGTATTCTTATTTACAACTGGTTCTTATTTGATTCCTATTTCCTCTACACCTAAAAAAGGTAGTATGCAATCAATGTCATCAATCTAATCATCACCTTTGTGAGAATTGCACCCCCTCAAATCCCCAGGGACCGGGCAAAGGCACCGTGGTTTCCAGGTGACTCCAAAGTACCAGGAAGACAAACGCCTTCCGTACGAGCCATCGGGTGTCAACTTCGTCGGGGCACCCAATGGATGGAACTGATTTACCCCCTTCACATAATATGTATGTATATATATATATATCATATATGTATATATACACACATACATATAATATGTACATATAATATGTACATATAATAAATATATATATAGTATATACATATAACTTATGAAAGTTATGTCAGGGACTTCTCTTTGACCAACTCTTGGGATCTCGCCTGAAAGGAGAGAAGAGAGCTGTGAGCCAGCCACGTGAAGCCAAAGGGATAGAAGTTACTGTAGTACGCATCCGCCTGTAGCCGACATGTGGCGGCATGAAATCGCTGGAAGTGGAATGACAGGGTTCTGGTGTGGAGTTTCTGCAGACAAGCATCCACATAGGCCGGCAATGCAACTCGGGGAAAAAGGTACCGGGACTCCTCCGCAGCGAGCCAACTCTTTTTTGGCAAAGGTTGCAGACCAAATTCCAAGTTAGTGTGCTTTAAATGCCAAGTTAGTGTGCTTTATACATCAAAATAGAGGAATTTTGGTGAACATCTCCAATCAATCGTATGATCTCTAAATAGTGCACTGAGGCCGTTATAAAGTCTCCGAATCTTCACCTCAGTTCAGTGTTTACTCGGGCCCACCTTGGTCTGTAGGGCACAGAAGGAAGCCACTTCGCCCAGGCAGAGACCCAGCAGCAGCGCTGCTGTGTCTTGGCAGTCGCCCATGTGGCAAAAGACCACAGCTAGGCCTCCCAAGGACCGGAGCCACGTGAAGATGAGGCGGCTGTTCGGCTGTTCGGCTGTTCTGTTGGTGAAACATGTCCGCAAAGTGTGTGCCACGTGGTGCCACGTGGTGCACATGTTCAGACCTGCTGGAGAAAGCACCAGCACGATGGCCTGTCCGAGAGCCAGCAGCCAGTTTCCATCATGTCATCCGCTCCGCGGCACGACATGACGTGACTGGATGTGACTGGCCTCCAAGGCATCCAAACCTCCAGGGACTCCAGGGGAGTGAGAGGAGTGGCAGATCTTCATTCCAAGTTTGAAGCAGCCAAGCCTCAGTCGCACGTCACACGGGCCAAGCCAAGTTGCGCTGTAAATCTACCCGAGAGACTGGCAAAGACGTTCGGACAGAGTAGCAAAACATCACCTTGGAATTGAGGGTCTTGTGGTGGTATTGGTTACTTCACAGCATTCCCTTCAAATAGTAGCAAAATCCCATACATTTGTGCTGCTTTCATCTGCTTTCTGTTTTGGGTGTCCACTTGCATCCCAACTCACCTCACTGAGTTTGGAGGAGCTTGGGACAACACAGCTGCCAGCAAGCCGAAGACGCCGGTGCTGAAAGCCCACACCACCTTGAAGAGCCACCACTCCATGTGCCTCGAGCTGTCATTGGTCAGAAATATCAGAAATAAAATGAGCAGCGTTGGTTATGAAATCACGTGAAAAACATGGTTCTACAGGTTTATACCGCCTATTTATATCTATTTATGGTTTACTATTGTTTTACCCACATTGTCTGACTTCTCAAAGGGTAAGCCAGGCCTGTCAAGCAGTTCTGCCATTCGCCTCATGGCATGAAGGGAGCCCGAAGGCTGGCCTCGATTTAGACGAGGCTTCGGCAAATCGGGGGAAATCAATGCATGTTTCTTGTAGCATTTTTGTAGCATTTTTGTAGCATTTTTGTAGCATGTAGAATCCAACTCTTTGGTCACATCATCACATCACAACATCCTCCAGACCTTCGCAGGAGAAGTGGTTCAAGGCATTGCTTCCAACTTTGGACGCGTTCCCAATGCCTGACACATTGGACACAGCGCATCCGACGGGTCAATGGGGTCGACGGGCACCTCCAAACTCTGCCAGTCCCCAGGCGAGCAACGACCACTTCTCCATCAAGGCTGCCTGGGCGGCCTGATCAGACAATGCTTTGGGCAGCTTTGGGCAGCTTTGGTACCCAGTCACAGTAGTCACAGAGACTAAGAGTAGTCAGAGTAGTCATAGTCAGAGTAGTCTCTGTTTCAATCCATTTCAACTTCAATTGCATGTTCGGCATGTTCAATTGAATTTATTCCGTGTTTCACCTTGGAGTGATCTGAGTTGGTTTCGGTCTCGTTGGACACCTGCGCAAGTCCGGTTCTTGATGCATCCCAAATGTTTCGCGAATCTGTTCACTTTAAACTATCTTAATGACATGCTTGTCATGGAACATCCATGTGGAGGTTTCCTGAAATGGTGCTACGCCACAAAATCATCCAAATTTAGACCACTGTAGTATCGAAGGCCATGGTGACTTGGCCCATTTCAAGAAACCCTTATGTCCTGATCGGCCTGTGATGCCTATGTCTCATCTTACAAAGCCCAGTAAGACGGCCTGGTTTGAGGCATTGGCGATCAGGATCAATGGCTCTCGCCGTAGTACCTGCATCGCAGTTGCCATTGTGCAATGATCTGCGATGATCTCATAGACATGAAATGATCAAAATATATCAAGATATCTGAAGTCAGTGTGGTTGGTTCACTTTTCAGTCCAAGATCCACAGAACGAGAAAAAACTTCACCAAGACAGGCTCCACCTGGGCCTCCTGGGCCACCTGGGCCTCCTGGGCCTCCTGGCCTCTTCACGCAGTGGCCCTGCAATCATCGAGCCCAGAATGTGTCGCGCCAAGATACTGCGCAGCGGGACTTCCAGGAACTTCCTGGCGCAAAACGGCACAGGGACTTCCCAAGCAGATCATTCGGCAGCTGGACTTCTTTCTTCTGAAATGGGTAGATGGTCAGTAGATGGTATTAGGATGTATTAGGTGTTCAAAATCTGTACGCCTTCAATCTTTTTAACCACAAAATAGATATGGAAAGATATGCCATGGAATGCCATGGAATGCCATGGAATGCCATGGAACGCCTACAGCATAGCCATTTTGAGAGTCCCCTTGGAGTCCCCTTGGAGTCCAAGGAGGCCAATCCATGCAGGTTGCACGGGTGAAGGCCCAAATCCTTGGCTTGAACCTGGACTGAAGTCATCAAACCTTAGCTGACCAGGCCATGCCAGGCCAAAGTCTGATCCAAATGTCTCGAGATGTCTCGAGGTTTCAACACAACATGCTAGCTGTAACTGGCTGCAACTCTAAAGTGGGGCAGTCTGAGTGAGTCCTAGTCACCTCTTACCTTCCGTTTTGACACCGGGGACCAGCACCATGTTTCGCCGCAGTGAGCGCACCTCCCAACAACTCCCCAGCTTGGCAGTCGAACTCGCCATGAACGTGCGTGCAACCATGTGCAGAAACCTCGAAGAACTTTGACTCCACTTAGACCCAGACTTTGGCGCAGCTGTTGCGGTATGTCTAGCAGTGCCCGTTCAGCCGCAAATTCGCAGCGAACCTGGTGACATCTGCTGGTAACTGCTGAGTCTGCTGCCGGTCATTGGGAGTGCGAACACTGCGACACTTCGTGAAGCGTAATGGCTGTCAGATCAGGACACTACCTGCAGGATCCTGCAGGATCCAGTAGATTCAGATGGGACATAACCAGCGGTCATCCCTCTCACCCTGGTCATTCAATTCCAGGTTTCATAGCGATAGCCACACCTGTGATCCACAGGTGTTCCACTTCTCCGAAGGGTCCGAACACCTGCGGCCAGTGAAGATCAGTGACGTTGGGCCAGTCCAGCAGGATCCAGCAGGCACAGCGGCCTGGGCAAAACCACCTCCACGACCAGAAACTCTGAAGCGCGGCTTCTTGTGCCTTGAGTAGGAATTGAACGCAAAATCCATGGTTACCCAATGCTTACCCAGTGGTTATCCAGTTAGGACATCCAACTCGCCAGTCACAAACCTCTGAGGTTTGAGCTGTTCGCATCCAATTCGCTGCTGTTGAGGCCTCCGCCAAGTGATCTGGAGTTTGAAAGTCAGTGGCTTGGCGTAGTGATACATGAATCAACACGAACCAATAATGAATATGAATCAATATGATACGGATACCCAAGAATATATATGTATATGTATATATCAACATATGATGGTGTTCTCAGTCTTCAAGCTTGACCCTCACCCAATCTCAAATATGTTCTGTTGGGCACGTTGCCATCGGTGAAATTCGGGCTCAACCCTTTCCGGCTCCTTCTGGCCATAACGCAGACTTCAGTGACAATGCGAGCGGATCCGTATCATGCCTCATCTGCGGAGATGCAACCGAGGTATTCCCGACGTTCAAGTTCAACGGTTGAGGTTTCGGAAAATCGTTGCACATGTGCAGGAAACGGCTTAAAAAAACTTTGGAAGTGCTGCACCTCAACTCCTCGGAAACAAAATATCATTTTGCACATGTTCGCGGCAGGCTCATAATTCGGCTGCTCCTTTTGCTGTTTCCCGACCTTTTTTGGGGATCTCAAATGTTGGCACATCCTTCGAACGCCAATGCAAGCTGAGAAGCGGTGAAAATGCCGTTGGCAACAACACCTGCTGATCCCAGACGGTTTCAACTTTGGTCATAGTGACAGCAAAAGAAAACTGGGTTGAAAACCAGTTTCTGGATATTTTTTGCCCTACAAATATGGTTCAAATTTGACTGAAGAATGGCGGAAGGAAGTTTAGAAGTCAAACTTCCGACGATATGGACAGATGGAAAAGCAGAGGTGGAAAGAGTCAGAGAAGAGAAAGGAAGAAGAGAGGAAATCAGGGAAGAGAAAGAGATAGATAGATAGATAGATAGATCGATCGATAGATAGATAGACAGATAGACAGATAGACAGATCGACAGATAGACAGATAGACAGATAGACAGATAGACAGATAGATAGATAGACAGATAGGAAAGAATTAGATAGAATTAGATAGATAGAATTAGATAGATAGAATTAGATAGATAGAATTAGATAGATAGAATTAGATAGATAGAATTAGATAGATAGAATTAGATAGATAGAATTAGATAGATAGAATTAGATTGATAGAATTAGATTGATTTAGAATTAGATTGATTTAGAATTAGATTGATTTAGAATTAGATAGATTTAGATAGATAGATTTAGATAGATAGATTTAGATAGATAGATAGATAGATAGATTAGATAGATAGATAGATAGAGATAGATAGATAGATAGATAGAGAGATAGATAGATAGATAGATTTAGATAGATTTAGATAGATTTAGATAGATTTAGATAGATTTAGATAGATTTAGATAGATTTAGATAGATTTAGATAGATTTAGATAGATTTAGATAGATTTAGATAGATTTAGATAGATTTAGATAGATTTAGATAGATTTAGATAGATTTAGATAGATTTAGATAGATTTAGATAGATTTAGATAGATTTAGATAGATTTAGATAGATTTAGATAGATTTAGATAGATTTAGATAGATTTAGATAGATTTAGATAGATTTAGATAGATTTAGATAGATTTTAATAGATTTTAGATAGATTTTAGATAGATTTAGATAGATTTAGATAGATTTAGATAGATTTAGATAGATTTAGATAGATTTAGATAGATTTAGATAGATTTAGATAGATTTAGATAGATTTAGATAGATTTAGGTAGATTTAGATAGATTTAGGTAGATTTAGATAGATTTAGATAGAATTAGATAGAATTAGATAGAATTAGATAGAATTAGAAAGAATTAGATAGAATTAGATAGAATTAGATAGAATTAGATAGAATTAGATAGATAGAATTAGATAGATAGAATTAGATAGATAGAATTAGATGGATAGAATTAGATAGAATTAGATAGAATCAGATAGAATTAGATAGAATTAGATAGAATTAGATAGAATTAGATAGAATTAGATAGAATTAGATAGAATTAGATAGAATTAGATAGAATTAGATAGAATTAGATAGAATTAGATAGAATTAGATAGAATTAGATAGAATTAGATAGAATTAGATAGAATTAGATAGATAGAGAGAGATAGATAGATAGATAGATAGCTAGATTTAGATAGATAGATAGATAGATTTAGATAGATAGATTTAGATAGATAGATAGATAGATAGAGATAGATAGATAGATAGATAGATAGATACACAGATAGATAGATACACAGACAGATAGATAGACAGACAGACAGACAGACAGACAGATATATATAGATGTATAAATGAATAGAATAGATAAGTAAATAGACAGATAGAAGGAAAGAAACATGGAGAGAGAGAGGGAGGGAGAAAAAAAAAATCAGAGCCTCAACCACCTCTCGATCAGTGGGTTCGCTCTGCCATGCATCACAACAACCAGACCTCTGCTCTCTGACTCTGAGCCCTCAACAGAGTGCAGCACCACCAAGCAGGACACCTGCCCGATGACGAGGAGGAGTAGAAGCACTTCCACTCCAAAGCGAAGCAACCTGGCGGTTGCTAGGGCCCCATCTCTACATGGCCATATTGGGGCGGTTGTTTCCCATGGAAAAAAGCATCTCTTGGGTAAAAGTTCCAAGATTTAAAAGGTGACAGAAAACAAAGAGACAAAAAAATGGCAAAGGTTTCTATTTAATAATTCTATTTCAACCGAGCAATTTTGTTTCTCCATCAGTACCACTACCTACCCCATCAAAATGTAAAAATATCTAAAAATATGTAAAAATGTACCAGGTACCTGCCAGGTACCTGTTTTTCCCATTTCAGATCCCGAGATGTCGCACCGGGCAAAACATGGCAGCTCTTCGGAGGAACGACCCGCAGGCGCCGCAGAGTTTTGCAGTGCCAGGACCAGATCGCCCGTCTCGAGAGCAGAGAACTCTTCAGAGTTCCAGGCTTCAACTGGTGGTTTTATGCTTTGAAACCCATCAAATATCTTTTAAATCGAATCTTGAATCTTGGTTTATATGGTTTATCCCATTTCCCCCTCACAACATGTGAAAAAACCTGAAACCTTTGGTCACCCGCTGTTCGGGTACCGAGCGGATCGCTCGGGTACCAAACAAGCGGATGATACATGGCCAAGCGCTGCACCTAAACAAAAATCGGTCATCCACCGTTGCCACTGGATTTCTCTCCACCTTGGAAAACGATGCCAATGGGCAGCGGTGCCCACATACCTTTAAGCGGTGCCATTCCCGATGCTTTTCGCGAATTAAAAAAATAGTAAACATATCGCTGGCCCCAACGTTTGTCAACTGAAATAGCTAGGTCCATGGCGCAAGCTGCAGCTCCATCAGTCTGGTCCTGCGCAAAGGTTTGCAGCTGAAAGTCAGATCAAGTTTCAACCTCAGGCTCAAATACAATTTTTCATGATCCATAATTGACAAAAGTTGATATGTTCGTCATTTCGTCATGTTTTTTTTCTTACCAGCGATCGTCTATATAGGACTGACTCAACACCCAGGTCGCCAGGCTGCAGCGCCTGTCCCTTGATCGGAGAAAACAGTTGGACCAGGTCACCCTGAGTCAGCCAGCGATCATTCCAGGCATACGAAATGGTCACATAAAGTGCCCATGCCCTGCATGGGAAAAGCTCCCCTGAAGCGGTCAAGTTCTGTTGATTCACCTATCAATGCTGAATAATGCTGAATCCCATCAACCTTCTTCATCTTCAACCTTCTTGCCAGATTTTTCATGGGGGTACTTTATTAAACCATGACAGTCCAGGTGAAGATCATACGAGGCCGTCCCCTGAAACAAGAAAAATGAGAAAAGCATGAAGATTCAAAAAAAAATGCGACCATGAATAGCCATGAATAACTGAATAAATCTGAATAACCATGATCCATGATGCATTTCAGATATTTTGAGTATTTTTGAATGCTTCATGGTGCTTCAAGCCATTTGGGCTGAGCTTTCCACTGAGCAGTTTGGAAGCATCGCGGAACGCCCGGAACGCCCGGAACGCCATGACCGTTGCCGAGGCGAGGCTCAGCTACCCAGGCCCATGGCTAGGCCGGGAGATCAACATCCAGAGCGACTGGAATTACGTTACGACGTACGTTACGACGTACGTTACGACTTTGCAGGTTTCTGATAACATGTAGGAATCCTACCACGATGTACTTGATAAATTCTGATGATGTAGGAATCCCGGACTCCTGAATCCTCTTTAAGAGCTTGGATGACTGTGACGGTGTTGAAAAAGTGTGGGACTGCGACTAACTTCATGTTTCACATCTATTGCGGCATGTCTCTCTCTCAAGTCTTTCAAGCTCGGGTATGTCATCAAACGTCTGCACAACGAAGGTTCACAGAACTGTCAACTATCTCAACTGCAATTTGGACTGCAAGAGTTTCAAGCACCGAGCCTTTCCAAAGTTTCAACCATCCATTTTCCAAAGAAAAAATCAGGTCCTCTGGAGGTACAGCCATGACCGTATGACCTGTGACACTTCAGCGTCAGATCACTGGGTTAGAAGTGTAGCTCTCGACAGGTGCGGCACTTGAATCGCCTACCCCATGAACGAACCATGAACTGACCATGAACATCCATGAACTATATCAAACTATATATATGTGTGTGTATGTGTGTGTATATATATCTCTCAAAATAAAGTGGAATGACCCAAGACCATCTCCTGTCAAGTCATACTTCTATCACTGTGTGCATTTGTCAAATCATCAACACCTCCTGCGAATGGCAAAGAACTAAAGCATTCAAAGCGAAAAATATTGGGCAAAACGCAAGTTGCCTCAGCACTTGCTGTTGCTGTGAAAGCGGATCCTCCAGTGAAGTTTTGGAATCTGCATAGGGTTGATTGGTTCATTGGCTGATCAGGTTTGGACTTGATTTCTTTGGGTCTTGCTGGAGTCTTGAATCTCGTGTTGCTCGCTTGCGTCCCGCTAAGTGAAAAGCAAGTGACGCAGCTGGCAAAAAGGTTACATAAGAGTATGTCCAAACATTTCCAAACCACATAAGCTTGAGCCAAACAGGCAGCACAACTTCCTGCGTGTCACAAATGAAGCCGGTTTGAAGTCCCGTGTGCACAACTGTCCAATACACTTGCGAAATCTTGCGACGCTTCGGTTATTGTTTTTTGGTGCCTTTAGGCAGACAGAGGTTCGAAAGGTGCAGATGTCGAAGGACTTGACACAGAAGTGGGTGTCCACGCCGCAAAATCCCGGAGCCTTCGGTACATGGAAACATCTTCCCGCGGTGCCAGTGGCAAAGGATTTCGAAGTTCTCCATTGCCTGGTGGAAATCGCTGGTGAGTTGGAGAGATGTAATCCCTACAATCATCGTTGCGGAAATTTTGGTCCGGATGCAAATAGTCGTCCAAATTGCAGGGCCAGTCGGATTCTTCGGGACAAACTGGCTGGGCAGCAGCATACCAGTTCTCACCACATCGGACAGATCCAACATCACTATCACTCACGACGTTGCCGTTGAATTCGGAAGGCTGTTTGGGCAATCTTTCGCCCCAGTGGTGGCCAGGTGGTCTCTGGCTCTCCAGCCCAGTGCCTCGGCCTGCAAAGTAAGCCAGGCCGGTGCAATTGTTTTCATCGCAGCGAGAAAAGAACGAGTTATTCGAAACATCATTCTGAATGGAAGGCAAGGCCATAGCATTGGGCCTATGTAGCAAAGCAAAATTCAAAATCGTATCATTGTCTTCCAGCAGGTCCGAGAACAGTGGGGCTGCCACCTGGCCATAGACTTGGTGGGGGTCACCGGACCAGCGGATCCGGTTGGAGGGACGCGAATTCTCCATGCTGTTGTAGTTGATGGAGCACATCTGCGAGTCCAGCAAAATCGCGGTTGGCATCCCCCAGCAATGTGTCAAGTTGCGATCCCAATCGTAGCCAGTATTGCTGAAGCTGTTGTTCCGCACCTCCAGGTGTGAACACGAATCTACATCAAGTGACATGCCGCAGGTGTTGGAAACGATGGAGTCTTCGATTTGGGCTCCATACCTATTTCCTTTGCAGAAAAAACCAGCGCCGGCACCAAACGCAGGCGGACCACATGCAAAGCCGCTATTGCGAATCACACTTCGCCGCACTTGACCAAACCCAGCAAAGGAAATCGCATCGCAATGGATGTCGTCGATTGTGCTCTGCTCAACTGTGTTGACTTGAGAACGCAACCCATCAACAAAGACAATGCCATAGTAGCAGTGGTGCACGTGCATTTTAAACACCAAATTATCGCGCGAAGTTGGACTTTCAAATAGGACACCTATGCCTGCGGGACTGCCAAGCGCTTCGACGTCACTGATCACGGAGTTGTTGCCGATGAAACTAATCACACTTGTGCAGCAAGTAGCATCTCGTTGCTTTCCCCCCGCATCCAATATGACTGAACTGACCAAAGAATCCGAAGAGACTTCAAGAAGAGAGTGCGTAATCGCTGTTGGAACCGCCAGGAGCAATCGCGATGCTAGGGATGCATTCAATGAAGTTTTTTGTGATCCTACTGCAAGAGCGCCTTGCAGTGTGCTGTTCGGAGGCATCTTGAGACCATGTGGAAGCAGAAATATCCCAGGCCCCAATGTCACTCGCTGTTCTAGTCTGAGGCATTGGCTGATTCTGCGATGGTTCACAGCAGCTGTGGATGGTATCAACTGGAAACAGTTTTCCTCGCTGTCGGCATCAGAGTTTTCACCAAGAACGACGAGCAGCAGCGGCACCAGCGGCCACACAGGCATGCACTTCATGGCGCCTTACTTTTGAGCCGCTGGCAGCGTAAGGTGCAGAAATTGCCATCAAAATCACGGCCATACCCTCCGGTAGTTCCACACTATGGAAGCCATGGCCCACTTAGTTCGATGATTTACACACTAAAGGCAGTGATTTTCGCTAAAATTATTATTTCAGGTATCCATCCTCCCAGGTTTTCTTTCCAATCCTACTAGATCCTAAAGCAAACATGTATCACTAAATAGTAATTAAATAGTCATTAATAACCATGTTGCTATGCTTTGTTTCACCCAGTCCCCTGCTTTTTTTTTCCGTTGCGACAACGCTAGCCAGGTCAGTCCAAGGCCTTAGTGGATCCAGGATTTGCTGGGAACGCGATGCAGTTGATACAACTGATTACAGTACTTTGATATGGTATATTAGATATATATCATAGACATATGTCAACATATATATATATATTATATATACGTATATATTATATATACATATATAAATACATACATATGTATATAATATATATATATACATATAATTATATGTGTAGTCTCCACATGTATTGACTGAACTTCAAACATTTCAACTGGACCTTTTGCGAATCAGCACAACGCCAGCGAGTCGGCAAGGCACACAGCCCTGCAAAACGTCCAAATTCCACGTGCAGTCGGCTTCCATGCGCTTTTTGGGGTCCCAAATGGGAGCCCTTTTTAGGACCCCAAAAAGTCCCAAGGTTCATACTTGTGAAAATACTATGTTCATACTATGTTCATACTTGTTCGATGATGTTCAATGTATTTGGATTTAAGTTTATTCTGTACACATTTTTTCTCAGAGCTCACTTTGCTTCAAATTCATCCACAAAGTGTCGGAGTCGGAGATGTACCAAATGCATCAAACCATGGCCTGCAAGGGAAAAAAAAAACGATGGATTGGTAAACAAACTCCACAGAGAGGCCGAATCTTTTGAAGGAAAACAAGTCTGCTCTTGGAGGAGCCAACCGCTGCCCTTGGACCCATCACCCAGGTCACTCGTGACATTTCGCACCTCTGGAGATTGCCCAGGCATTTGCTCCCAAAGCCTCCTGCGAATCGGAGCATCCAACTTGAATCAAGGCTGACATTTCAAGAACTGAAATCTACAAATCTGTTCATCAACGAGTATAGATAGTAGTACTAGTAGTATGATAGTATAGTATGCTAAATGAAGCCTCATTGGGCTGTTCAGTTGTGAGTTCAACCATTCATCCCAGTCCTGGATTGCAGATCTGGAAGCTGGAGAAATTGTTGTTTGCATAGCTGTTCGGTGCCTGCAATCAAAATGTGTGGATGAATAAATTCATCTTAGGGAATAGACAAATGCACAAGACGGATCAGTTTTGGTATCGTATTGAACCGAACATGTTTGGCTGGTATGGAGTTCTGACAAACACACATTTGGCACTGCATGAAGCCCTTGGTGAAAAAATATGGGGCTGGGTTAAGAGCCCTCTACCAATTGATTGTTCAATGGAGATACTTGACCTATTTGAGGAAAAAATATGATATCAGAGTCAGAATGGTACACAACTCAAGCATACAATGGAAAATGCTGTATATAACTCTGTATGTTCTAGTTTTATCCTTCATTGTCCCTGTTCGCATTTCTCTGAACACGTGTGTTAAATGGGGTACAAATAAAGCCAGAAAATGTGTCATGCGGGTCATGTTTCTTTTTAAACCACTTAAATAGGACATGTTCAATTTGGATATGTCTATGTATGTATGTATATATATATATATACTGTATATATCAATAGATCAATATCTGTTGGCCAAATTTCGAATTCTAAGCCAGGCTGCGCATCGAGGCAGGACTCGCTGCCCTTGGCGAAGTCAACGGACATGCCACACACGAAAGCCTCAACGAACGGACGAACAACGGGATCACCTGGGATCCCCGAAAAAAGATCGAAAAGGGCCGAAACATATGCTCAAAAGATTCCATTTCACCGATAAATTGATAGATTTTATGATATAATATGTATATAATATACATAGTGTATATGTATATATACTTGTAACTTCATATGTATGTATATATATATATATATGTATGTATATATATATATACATATATGTATAATGTGTGTGTAAGTTCATATAGACCAACTTCAACCGTCGCCAGCGCCTTGGGATCCTTCACCAGATTTGTGGTGAAGTCGTGGAAGGACACGGAGCCATCCATCGACATCATTGCGAAGTCCGACAGCCAAAAGGCCTTGAAAACGACCTGTGGATCCCCAACCTGTCCCCAAGCTCGCTGGATGCTTAGTGGAAAATCCATCTATAAACTTCTATAAATGGATGATTTAGGGGTACCCCCCCATTTTAGGAAACCTCTATATCTGATTACCACATGTCTAACATTGTTTAACTGTTATCACTGCTTTATATATAATGATTTTTAAGTCATAAGTCTTCTTCAGCCGGTGCCAAACCAGGATGCACGTGCAAGTCGGGACATGTGTCCAAAAAGGGGGGTTCCATTCCCCCTACTGAAAGACATTTTGACATGTTGAGTTACCTTACAAAAACGTTGGCAGATGAAGGCTTTGAAATCTAAAAAACACAACAACTTCCGGCCTGAAAGGAGAGGTCGAACAAATGACGTCTGTCTCCTTACAAGCACACCACAAGCATCACCTTCAAATAGAGCAACATTCCCTCACACTGCACAGACCCACAAATGGTTCTTCTGTATTGTATCTAATACCAACAATCCGGAAGCTCCGGAAGTTCCAGAAGCTCCTTGATTGGGCCAGAGGGAAGCCAAGCCATCAATCTCCTTCACCCCAGTGACCTCCACATGGCCTGCACCGGATGATCGCTGCAGAATGGGATAGGTCGGTAACAGGTCGGATAGGTTTGGGACAGCTGTGGCATTAACCCAAAGCGATAAAGAATCATACAGCCCTCTTGTCACTATGGCTATGCTATGGTTCCTTCAAATGGTCAAAGTATGTCAAAGTGGCTTATCCCATGCCTCCACCTGCACAATCCACCCGAAGCGATGGAAGTCCTTCTCGTTCTTCAGGGCCTCAGGTGATGGTGCCAACCACATGCGGCCCTACTCATCCAAGTCAGAAGTTCCGAAACTGGAAGTAACTTGAAAGTCACAGCAGTCACAGCCTTCCAAAAGAACTTCCAGTCGACGTTTCGCCCAGGGCAAGAGGTCACGCTCCTGGCGAAGCCGAAGCCACAAATCATCCTGTATTCTCACTGCCAGGTCGAGCACTCGTCTCCTCCCAATTCTGTCGACCTCGGCGTGCGCACGGCGCCTTGCAACAACCTGCCCTCGGTCGAACTTGACACCCCCGGAACAATTTGAACTTAGCAACGTTGCGTCATGCACAATGCAGTTGAGATGCGGAATTTGAGCCCCTTCGCTGCAAGACTTGTTCCACTGGAGGCACAAATAGCAGCTTTCGTCTCTACACATTTTGGGACAGAGCAAGAAGACAATGTGTCCTTTCAGAGAAAAGCAAAGAACTTTCAGCCCGTCTTTGCATTTTCGCTTCAGACATCAGCTCTGCAGCACTTGATAACAACCCTGGTGGTCTCCTGCTCTTCCGATTGTTGGATCAGATGGCACGCTCCTGACATCATCAAAATCATCAGCAACGCTCCACATGGCTCAACTATGCTCAACCCAGCTTCGATGGCTCAACCCTCAGCACTATGCAAACCTTCATCCGGCTGTCGACAAATTCTCTTGTGAAAGCGCCAGTCTGCCTGGAGCACCACGGGCCCGGGCACGCCCACGGCACCGACTCTTTAAATGTGATTTGGAATTTACAATGTGTCATGCGATGTCATGCCTTGTCATTCTACGTCATGCTATATATAATATTATGTGAAAATATGTGAAAATATATGTTAAATGTTAAACTCTTAGGCTACTCTATTCAAAAATATTCAAAATATGTATGACTCCGGACCAGTTGCCATGGGATCCCGCCGGGCATGGCCGGGCCTTCTGACACGTGTGATCGCAGTAGCTGACTGCACGGCATTGGCTGCATCTTTGAATCCGTTGCGGCTGAATCGCTTTTCCACCTGAGCGAAGTGACGAAGTTCGAAGTTCCTGCTGGCACTGTTGGAATGTGCCACGGCGAAGTTGAAAGGTCCAAGTCGTGTCCAAGGTGCATCCAGCACACTCAGAAGGTGTCACTGAGATGAGATGGTCTTCCTCCCATTTCATGTCCTGGCAGAATCCACAGATATCCACAGGCAGTCTGAGGCAGTCTGAGGCAGTCTGAGGCGACAGTCTCGACAGTCCTTGGAGTAAACGAACCAAGGACCGGGAATCGATTTCGGGTCGCTTCTGTGTGTCGGATGAGGTTCTGCAAAAGCTTCACCCAGTGGCCGGCCATCCAAATACCTCAGACATTCTCAGTGAATCATGAGACCATGTGGATCATTGTGGATCCATGTCGCAGTATACAAAACTTACAAAACAGTCTCGTTGCATTTCTGAGGCATTGCCAAAAAAAACAAAAATCCAACTCCTTGCGTTCTGGCCTGGAGATCATCCACTTCTCATCCGTAAATTTCAACCATCTGCTCCCATCACCTCGGGCCACATCGCTTACTGTCGCTGCTGTCGGCCGTTTGGCCCAGGCTGCCCAGGCTTCGGGCGCTTTCTCAGCCGAGGAAAACCATTTAACGTGCCATCCAAGACATAGACTCCATTCACAGCCTCAGAAGCCGTGCACTTCGTTGTTCGTTGTGCAGTTCGCCGTGCAACGCTTCTGAGTGAATTCTTCGTGCCTCGCTGTTCCAGCCCTTGCGACCACACACCGCCACAGAGATCCCCACTTCCTGGGAGAATCTCGGAGAAAATTGTCGAACGGGGCACAAGTTGGATGCTTTGGTTCAACAATTTGGGCATAGGCGGCATAGGTTTAAGGTATAACTTAAGGTATAACTTAAGGTATAACAATGTATAACATACAGTAGGTATAACATGGTGCATATAACTGTTGGTGACATACCCCACAAGCATCGGACTTCACAAGAAAAACTTTGGATGTTTGGCTTGCCTCAGCCTCAGTATCTTTGACCAGGCGTTCGAAGCGTGAATAGTCCACGTTGGGTTTCACCTGGCGCCAAAAAAACGATGGTGACATCAGTGTTCAACCATGAAGAAACGGGGAGAACCACCATCAAGAATAAGGTTTTGAGATGATTAAAGTAGTTACACCCTCTGGTAATCTAATCTGAAAACATCTGGAAACACAACATCTGGCAAAGATGTAAAGGAATTATATCCTGAAGTTGGGGATTTCCGCCGTTTTCAATTTGTTCAAACATTTGTTCATTATCTTTCCATTGAAAGTGGGCCATGTCCCATTGATGCCCTGCCTCTGGAGCTGAACCGACCGGAGGACCTGCATAAATCCATGTCAAGCTGGTATTATGGCAACCCTGGATTGCTGTTGACCGCTGGTTTTTTAATAAGGCGGTACCAAAATGTACCAAATACTATTTGAGGGACCCCCCAAATTAGTCAACCAAGGTTTATTAATCCAGGTTTGAGTCTGCTCGTATTTAGTAGTGTGTGTGTGTGGTCAATATAAGAACGGTCATGAATTGATGTTTGCCCCTTTTGGACAAACCCATGTGCCATTCAACACTGCAAAATTAGAAGTCGGCTAGTTTCATCCAAAGGTTTCCCAACTGAATCGGACTGGTTTTAGATGGTTTTAGACCTCGGATATTCAGGGTAAACTGCGTTTACTCTGCATGACCGGCCTCCGAAGGAAACAACTCCATCTTGTGCAGTTTGCGGACCATTGTCCTGTGGCACACATATTTCCAACCACAAAACGTTCGAATAGAAAGAAAAATATCAAAGTCCTTATCAAAAGAAAATTAGAAGTCAAACTTCCGACAATATGGACAGCTGAAAAAGCAGAGGTGGGAAGAGACAGAGAAGAGAAGAGAAGAGAAGAAAGAAAACCAGAGAAGAGAAGAGAAGAGAAGAAAGAAAACCAGAGAAGAGAAGAGAAGAAAGAAAATCAGAGAAGAGAAAGAGTCAGAAGAAAGAAGATGCAGGCGCGCGAAAAAAGTAGAAAAAATGCGAAACACTGTGTTTTCCAATGTTTTGTGGCTCCGGAGGGTCGAAAAGTATATAGGCTCGTTAAAGCGACGGGTGCGGAGCCATCTGCGTAGATTAGAGATGAAAAATTGCACGCCGTTATGGCACGAACGCCATTTGCAAGCAAAAATGCGCAAAGCACCTCGGTGGAAGTTGAGATGCTCAACTGTGCACGCCGTTTTGGCGCGAAGCAAATTTCCAAAACAGAACGGTAAAAACACCACCTTTTCGGTCCACTTGTGGACGTTCAAACGCACCACACTATTCAACAACGACAACAACAAGAAGCCAAGAGGGATGGTAGCAAAGATGTGAAAGGATAGCAGAGGAAGTAGAACTTTGCAGAAGAGTGAGATTCATGTGGATTTGTGTCATTCAGCACGTTCCATGGTTCAAAAGTCAAAAGCATGGTTTAAACAACATGTTCCAAGCTTTGAGTTATATGGATTCATGATGATTCAGTATGATTCAGTATGATGATTTCTGAATTCCTAAGTTCATCAAATTTCGATAAATTTGCTCGGCCACCTTTGCTTGGCCAAATGGCTTCGGATAAATTTCATCTACTGCCATCCACTCATGGTCAACGATCTATATCTAACTATTCAATTCAAAAAAACATGCATCAAATTTATATGTCATGTACCTTCCTGTCATTAAAGAAAACAAAACTGAAAAAAAAAAACATATCCTCTATAAAATAGGGATCTCTGACGCCCCCCCCCCTGAACCCATACTCTGAGCAGAATCATGCAAAACCATGGTTTGGCTACAAAATTGGGGGTCCAACCAACAGAAAAACCATACATAAAACGTTTTATGCAGGGCCATGACCCTGGCTATTTCATAGAGGGGTTTGGATCAGACATACAACAACCACAACAACAACAAAAAACTACTACAGTACTACAGTACTACGGTACTACGGTACTACAGTACTACAGCTACTGCTACTGCTACTCCTACTGCTACTGCTACGGCTACTGCTACTGCTGCTCCTACTGCTACTGCTACTGCTGCTCCTACTGCTACTGCTACGGCTACTGCTACTGCTGCTCCTACTTCTACTTCTACTGCTACTTCTACTTCTACCCCTACTACTACTGCTACTACTACTACTACCACCTACTACTACTTAGTGTCCTATCTTTGAAACTTCCGCCACCGCCTTGTGTGGTACTACTGGTATTTTAAACTCCGATTTGGTGGTTGTATAGATTTACATGGCGATTGCTCCCAAAAACATATGCAAGACCCGGATGAGCTCCTTGATCCCACGAAGTCGCCGACACAACCTCCCAATACATGTTGGACTTGGCACACTGTGGACCGCTCCATAGCCACCATTGCAGCCAAGTGGCAAACGCCAGAAGGCACCCAGCCCGAGCCAGCAGGCACCGCTCATTTGGAACGCTTTTGATCCGAAAAGTCCAATAGCATGAGATTCCACACATGTTGCTGTTTTAAAACGTACACAGACACGGCGGATGGGCTTAGAGGGCTTAAAGTCATAGAGAAATGGAGTACAAAAAAACAACACGAAATCGACGAAACGAACTCAGGATGGCACAGTTCTCCCAGTGGCCGAAGGGATTGCCTCACTTGCCCGCGTTTGAATTGGGTCCGCGCTTTGGCCCACTTTTCACCACCTCAGTCCAAAATTTTGTGAAAATGTGTGGAAAAAAAACCAACTGAAATGGCCATCAGTTTCTCCAACTTCAATATCAAAAAAATTCAACGATACACTGAGGCTACGGACACTGACAAAGCGTCGATTGTAGACGAAACGTTTTTTGGCACGGCCAGTCAGTTTCTGAGTGGCACTGCAGAGTCACTGAACAGTTGATCCCATTGCATTGATGTAATGTGTGTATTGTGTCTTAAAGTATATGGTGAGTGTTTTTTTGTATTACATTGCAGCGTACGGAAATTGCATTTACCAGGTGCGATACTGTTTCCAACTGGTGAAATAAGTACTGTAAATTTGTTTTCATGCATGACGATACAACCAACATTGTCAAACACAAACACGAATACTTGCGCTGGACAATAAAAATTGGAAAAGTCGACCGCACAAAACATGTTCCTGGGTTACAGATCTACGTCGCTGAAATCAAAAGATCGCACATGATCACACCATATGAGTTGGTCTCACAGCCCACGCATTTGATTCATTTGATTTGCGTGTTGAGTCTTGACATGTTTTGACTACAGGCTGGACTATGTTCAATTTGATTTCACGATTTTCCCGCCGCATTTTCCAGCCTTCTTCTTTTCCGCTTTGGCCACCTTGGGAGTCTGATTCTTCACTTTTCCGGCACGCGCCAAACCTTAGCAGCGAGAGCCAAGAAATCATACATGATTTTGCAGTTGTCTTAGGCACTCGCTTCCGTGCACCTGCGCAAAACGAAACCATTTGGACATTTGCAAATGTTCATTCGGTGAAAATTGATTTCATGATCATGCAGCACGATCATGCTCAAATCGTCTCAAAGCAATGAATGTGACTAAATTTCAAACATATTAGCACTTGGCACGTAAGTGAAAAATCCAAAACTGAATTGTTAATTTTAGTTCCACAAGGCAACAAAATCAAATTATTACAATGCAAATAATGGTCAACAATGGTCACATCAAAGAACCTGCATGCTGCAAAGAGCAAAGGAACCTGCCTTGCCCATGGTGTGTTCTGGTCTTCTCAACTAGGTTCGAACCCAAATGATCCTGCACTGTATGTGGGACAAAAAAACACATGTCTTGCAAATGTTTTTGATGATGTGCACCGGGGTTCACCACAATTGAATTGTCGTTTTTTGACACAACATATGAAACTGTTCCCAACCATCCGGTTTTGATCGTTTTTCCTTGCCCCTACGCGATGTCAGTTCCGGAATGTTCCCATGCTGTTGGTTGTGGATAAGTCAATGCCAAAACAAAAATACCCAACGGTTTTTGCCAACGCCAAAGCCACACGTTAGGATCTTTTTCAAACCGGGGTGAATATTTTGACCATAAAAAAAACGGTTTTCTTGCAAATGTTTTTGACAGTTTTGTTGGTTGCAATGAACCTAGTGCCTTGCAATTTTCACACAACACACAGGGAGGTTAAGTTGCGTCAATATGCACCAACAGTCACCGACACAAACAATCAAACAAACAAACAAACAAACAAACGGACAGACAGACAGAAAGACAGACAGAAAGACAGACAAACAGACAAACAGACAAACAGACAAACATACAGACAGACAGAAAGACAGACAGAAAAACAAACAAACAAACAATGCTGATTTTGCTCGATCAAGAAACGCCTCAAAGTATATGTCTTTGCACATGAACTGCCAAGCTGCCAAAGGTTTCAATGGCTATGCTATGCAACACCAAACTGACAGCAAGTACATGTATGTATTGACACATGTCTGTATGGGTAAACTTTGTTCACCCCGCCTCAACATGGTCGTTTGACCTATGTTGCTTTCAAAGTTTTGGTTTGAATCCATGAGACATTCAACTAATGTCACAAAGCAAAAAGGGCATGGATTCTATCGCTAAAAACTCAAATGTCGTACATCAAATGCAAGACTTCATCCATCTGGTTCTGGAGAGTATACATAGCGTCCTCATCCTGACTCAGCCTCCTCGTACAGAGCTTCAAGTCGATCATATCGGGCACGCAAGACAGCATTGGTGTCATGCATCAACTGTATCGTCTGAGGATCAAGTCCATGAGGCATTGATGTCTCAGCAGGGCGCTCTCCAGTAGCGTCTCCAGAAACCATGGTATGGACATCACGTATTGAGTCAGGGTTTTCAACAATTGGGTCACTCTCTTGCTTTTCTTCTTCCCCATTTTCATGTTTTCCCAACATTTTGTCTTTATAACTTTTCAACAAGTCAAGCACCTTGTAGAGCGTGGTGTCGATCGAAAGCTTAGAGCACTCGCCCTGCAAAGCATTGATCTGCCACTTCAAGTAGAAGATACATCCAAGCGCAATGCAAAGAGCAGTCATCAACACCATGCAAAGAAGCTGCCACCAGAACATAGAAGAAACACTGGCGGAAGAACTGGTGCTGACATTGAACTCCATAGCCATCGATTCAGGGAGGCTCAAGGCGCTGAGCAAAAGGATTCTCATCAGTCGTTTTGACTCTTGGGGAGAACTTCCATGTTTTGTGAAAACTTTGACACCTTGTTTCATCACCTCTTTCTGTTTCACAGTCTCTGCAGCATCGGAGCCAACAAAACTTGAGGAAGAAAGGTCATATATCTTACAGAGGTACATAAGGTACAACATACGTTCTCTGGTCAGTCGCTTTGTACCAATATCTGAAGGATTGTCATGTGTGCCAACTCGTCCAACATGTAAAAACTGTTCTTTCACCTTTGCCTGAATCCACAGAATTCTCAGGCTGATGTGCCTGATGCGTCCCACTCCTGAGCGGCAAAAGAATGCTCGAGCAGCTGAATTGTCAAGACAAAGTTGAAAGCGCACCTCCAGTTCCGGGCCGATTGCAAATGAAAGGCAGTAGAACATCAACACTCCATCGCAGCAAGCACCTGCAGCAGAGTAAATCTCGGCTTCAGCCGAACTCAATGCCAAAGCTTTCTGACTCCTGGAAGTGGAGTAAAGAAGGTTGCCAAACAAAAACAAACATCCTGATGAAACACTTCTCCTTGTGGTTTTGTGCTTAGCCCAATCGCTGTCTGAATACACCTCCAAGGTGTAGTCCAACTCATTGTAGTGCAGTAGCCCATGGTGGGCCTTGTACGAAAGCATGATGCAGTGGTCAATGCATCCAAGCAAATACATACACAAATGCCGCAAACATGCAAGGGCTCTGACAGTTGGTTTGGCCATACATTGAGACAAACCTCGAATTGTATATTGGCACTCCAATGTATAGCAGCACTCCCACGCAAGACCTGTATGTGCTCGCATCACTGGGTCCAAGCTCTGCAGTATCATCTGGTTCATCCAGCATAGGATGGCCTGGCGTTCTTTTGGGCTTGAGGTTTCTGTTGATATGCATCAAGTCAAACAAACGTTCCAAGTGCTTTGGATGGCTTTGCACAGCCAACTCGTTCTCAGACAAAAGCACGTGCCTCCTCTTCAAGAAGGTCAACTCATCTCCCGGGTTCTCAACCTTTTCAGAAGAGATCTTGTACTTGGCTTTCAAGGCAGGCAGCAAGACACACTCCAAGTAGTCTTTGTGGCTGAGGCACAGGACATCGTCCACGTGAAGCATCAGCAAACATTCGCATCCACCTGTCCTCAACAAGCAAGGGTAGGCTTCGCATTCAGCAAAACCAAGTTCTGACTTCAGCAAATTGCTGAAACATTCATGCCAAAGCTGAGATCCATTCCTTTGTCCAGGCAACACTCTGCCCAGCATAAACTCTGTTGTTTGACCTGCAGCATCTTCGCAAGTAACCAACCTGGGTCAGTTCTTTCTGTTCAACCATCAGGAAAGCGTCTGCTATGTCTATGGCACATAGTATATAGTTGGAGAGCTTCCACTTCATATATAGTGTTGGGAGAAGACGAACTGTGAGGACTGAACTCGCTGGAGAAAACAGATCTTGGCGATCTGGTGAAAGCCAAGCAAACTCCCGCGCCACATATCGTGACCTTCGAAGCCACACATGTTGACCTTGGATATGCTTGCCTCTCCAAGTTCTAACCATTCGAGTGGTCAAACGTTTGGGGGTCTGGCCTTTGCAGTCATAGGTCTCCACAGGCAGGAGAACCTTCATACTTTTCAGCCTCTCAATCTCCACAGCGTCCGCAAGAAGGTCAAGCCTGAGGAGTTGTTCACCGCTAAGGTTTGGTTCCAGAGTCGTAAAAGGAACAGTCAAAAGCTTCAGAACGTCGTCACTCAAAGTTGGAAAGCTAAGCTGAGGTTCATCACTGTCGTCCTCAACATCATCCAACCCATAGTCATAGCTTTCAAGTTCATCCAACTCCTCAGTCTCAAAGAAAGTCAAATGACTGTCTTCCTCATGTTCACAAATACGCAAGAGTCTCTGTTGTTTGGATGGCCTGCTGTCACCACCTTCGTCTGCATCATCTCTTTGGTGTACATGTGTTCCATGAACAGAAACATCTGCAGCACCGCCTGCAGAAACTGTTGAGCTGGTAGCTCCTTCGGCTGGTGGAGTGATAGGCGCACTTGCACCATGTTCTGAACTGATCCCCGCCTCAGCTGACACCTCCTTGCAGGAACAGCAACACTTGTTGAAGGAGGAGCTAAAACACGTGGTATGGCTGGTGTGGCAGGGACTGGGCCAACATCATCGTCAGCATGTTCATCGGGAGTAGGTGGAACTCCCATGACAGCCTCTGCATCAAGATCACGTGGTGGAACTGATGGTAAGGGCAAAGGTGCTGGGGATGATATTCTTATTCCAATAGGCTTCAGAAGGGGAACCTGGAAACTAACAAGCGACTACGCTGTACTGCAACACAACCTATATATGTAAAAGTTAAACAAACCATACGGAAAAAGTGTATATATATATATATATCACCCGTACTCATACATCAAGTACAAATATATATACACGTGCAAAAACAGTGGAAATGGAAACGAGTGCCGACGAGCGTGAATCAAACGCAATCACTTTTTCATCTGTGGGGAACGCTGCTTCGAGATCCGTTGTAATAACGGTAGGGTTAGGCATCCCCCTCCCCCGGGTTGGGAAAAAACGTGGTTTGACCACAGTTTTGGGTGGGTGAACAAAAATTCGTGGGGGATGCCACTTGAGACCAAAATGCCCATACAAAAATATAGATGTCACATTGATAAGAACAGATCCTTGCCGAAAGAACTGCACGTCACTTGAAACATGTAAGCGTTTCACACTGATAAGAACAGAGACTGCTAAGTTCCCAGAGGCACAGGTTCTGTAAACGACATTATACTATTGGACATTTGGTTTTGAAATAAAGGAAAAAAAAAAGGTTTGTTGCAGTAACCCTCGCGTAGAACCTACACAACGCGTGTCGCTCAGAAGTTTAGAAGTTGATAATTCCAGGTTACCCAAGAGTCTTTGAACACCATGTGTTCAAAGACAAAGAAACCTCCAGGAATAAAGGGTACATCCTTACCTCGTGCCTTGGACGGAGGGAACCCTTTTCGCCAAAACAAGCTGAGAGCCAAGCGACGCATAGCCAAACTGCCATGGGGTCGCCTCCATGTTGGCCACCATTTCACCATCCCAAGGCTTTGGAAACCTTCGCACACTTCGAGTGACAAACAGTCTTTGATGACCTGGCACAGCTATTATATGAACATCATTTGAGCTAGTCTTGCCAAGCCAAATACCTTTCGTCCATTGAGGGGCGCCTTTTGTAGACACCTTCAGAAAACCAAGCACACTCTCACCAAAAAGCGCAAGTCTGCCATTGTAGGAACGGCCAGAGCAAATCTCGTAAGGGGTCAGGCCTTGGCGCACAACAAATCTGTTGTGTACCCATGCACTGTGAAGAAGACTCCATTGATATAGTGGGTGATGACACCCAATCACATCCGAGATTCCACAGCCTTGCTCAAGTTGCTGTATCAGCACGTTGGCATTCTGCCTCAAAACTTTGACTGTCACTTCAGCGCCACCATTTGAAGCATGAGATCCTGGTGCAACTGTCTCAACATGAGTTTTGATTCCAAGGGCACGGCAGGTCTTACGAACAGCTTCCAAAACAGAAAGCGTAGCCGGTTCCTGGTCACACTTCAAAGAAATTGTGCTATGCCCCAACCATGTAATAAACCTGCAAAACTCAGTGCACAAATAAGCCAAGTGTTTGCCTCCTTTCTGAGGTGTTGGAATCACATGCATTGCACCTGCGTCACGGTCATGTATGAAAAGTCCACAAGCCTTAGTCTCACCATCAAACCTCGAAGCGTAGCCAAAGTCAAAGCTCACGCATGAGTGGCCTCCACTGGCCTCAACACGCTGGGGATGTGGATCTTGAACAGCTCTGTTTGCAACGCAAAGCTCACACCAAGCAGCATAAGGTTGATGTGTAAGCATGTGATCTGCACGTTCTTTGTCAGTGGGATCTGTTGGAACTGGTTGTGCATGAACTGGCCTCTGCAGCTCAGCCTGTAGTTGGGTCTTTGCACCATGTGCAGCTATCATCTCCTGCGCCTGAAGATGATCCCACAGTCTCTTCAAACATGTTTTCTTACTGCCACCAGTAGCTAGTCCTAGACTCTCACATGCCGTACGCAAAGTTTTCAACGTGGTGTTTGAATCAAGCTTCACGCCATCAATCAAGATCTCATTGGGTTCTGGGCCTGCATCCCTTTCAGGGACTGGTAATTCAGCATCTTCAGCAGCTGGAACTTCCTCTGCTGGTTCAGCACCCATTGGCCTGTCAGCAGATCCAGATGCTTGCAAGGGAATACCTGAACGTGGTGCTATCACCTCCATACAAGGTCGAGGTACAACATCATCAGATTGCATTGCAAATCCAAGGGTCTCAGGAGGGACAACACTGGTATGAGCAATGGTGATGACTTCAGTCACTCGCTTGTTGGTGTCAAAGGGTGCCACCATTGTGGAGAGCTCTGAAATGCTTTGGCTGAACTCTTCTAAATCCCAAGTGCCGTCCTCATAGTGAATCAGTGTAGTGCGCAACCAAAGCAAAGAATCATGAGGACAAAGTGTTGTGTCAACATGCTGAGGAGGATACTTCGCAGGGCGTAGGAGTCCACGCCAATTCGATTCCAACCTGGAGCCAAACCAGAAAGGGTTGAACTCAGTGTCAAAGCTCGTACATGAACATCTGGAGGACTGGAATCTGAAGAAATTGATGTATCTGAACTGGTCACCATGCGTATCACTCCCATTGCACAAAGTGAGTTCCTTCGAAAATGCACTGGAATACGTTTTGAGTTTCTTGCCAAAAACATGCCATCTGAGTCCCTTTCCAAATACCATCCTTCTTTCAAAAGCCTTCCCATGGAAATCAGTGGTGAAGTCACTGCAGCAATGATGAATCTCTCTTTGAAAATGACAGAACCGAAACGTACTTCTGCAATCCTGGCATCTTTGATACAAATAGGCTTACCTTGTGCATCAACAAATGAAGAACCATCAAATGAAGGGTCTGGCTGGCCAATGTGGCCGTACTCCAACGGCAGCACAGAGCCATCAGCTCCCGAGTCCAGTACCACCTCCACATCTCTTGGCTCAGAAAGGCCAATTGCTCGGATTGAAAATGGTTCATCATCTCTTTCACAAACGCCAGAAAAAGTTTGCAAAGCAATGTCATCTGAAAAAGTTTGCAAAGCAGTGTCATCTGAAAAATCACAAATGGTCCAGTTACTGTCACTATCTGAATACGACATGTCAAAACATTCGCAGCACTCCATGTATACACCATCGCATGTTGAGTCCACAGTGTCAAGTCCACCATGCATCTGTGAAACCATGTTGCAACAGCCACTTGAATCATGCATTGTCAGATCACAAATTTCTACATCGTCCAAGTCTTCGATCAAAGGTCCATGCATGTGGTCAAGGCTTGTAAACAAACGCACTGAACTAGCTGCTGCTGTAGAAGGCGGTGAAATGGAAGGGCCACCACCACTGGAAGAAGTTGCAGCGGAAGTTGTGGTCTGCGATTCCACCTGGTTCACCTTCTTGGAGTCTGGCTTCCCATGAAGCTTCCAGCAATCACGCTTGAAATGGCCATAACGACCGCAGTGAAGGCATTGGTCATTCGCAGTTGCAGCTCTCTGAGATGGCTGGGATGACTTCCCTTTACCCTTTTCATTCTTACCTTTACCTTTACCTTTGAAGTTGTTCTTATCTTTGGACTTTCCCTTTGATTTACCCTTCTGTTTTCCCTTTTCAACACGATCTATCTCCATAGGGGCCACGCCATTATTTGAAACAACATTTGAAGACGGGCCTGAGGACAAAATGCCCAGCTCGCTATGGATCTTGCCTGCACTCCAGCTTGTAGTGGTGCGCTCGTAGGAGATCACCATGGTGCGCACTTGGTCATAGGAGGAGGTCTCTGTCATTTGAAGTTGAACATGCTGTTGCAGTGCCTTAGGCAGTGCTCTAACCAGTACAGAAAGCATCACATCATCGGCGATGTCAGTCCCACTGGCTCTGACATATTCCGCTCTAAGTCTTTCAAGGCCAAGTATTTGGTCAAGCAAAGTTCGGTCTTTCATCACAAAGTTGGGCACATTGACAAGTGCAGAGAGAATGGAAATGGCTCGGCTCTTGGTCTTGGGCTGAAACATCTGGCTAAGCTGACGCCAAACCTCAAATCCATTTCTGCGTTCAACTTGTCTGAGCATGCGCAGTGGTTTTCCACGAAGCAAACCAGTGAGTATGCTATATAATTGGCTGCATCTGTCCTGAACTTCTGGGGCTTCTCCATCAACGCTAGGTATAGGGATATCTCCATGCACAGATTCTATCCTATGCAGGTCACCCTCGAAGTGCTTGTTGCCATAGAAAAGCCAAGCGCGGAAATTCACATTGAAATCCTGCCATCGTCCTAAGTCCTCTTCATGAACTTCAGACCCAAAAGGCTCTGGTTGACGGATTACCTTGGAGGCCTCTTTGAAACCATCATTGAGTCCAGTTCGAGCAGCTTGTTGATCCTTTAAGGCTATCACAGCTTCACCGGCCGCCTTCGCAGCGTCCGTTGCAGCTTGCACCAACTGTGCAACATCGCAGCGTGGGTGCAATGTGTGTCCTTAAACTGCTTTGCGCCGCTGCGCCGCTGCGCCGCTGCGCCGCTGCGCCGCTCCAGTCGGTACGTGCGCGCTATGCTTTCTCTGCTACTGCGCCGCTGCGCTGTTGTAAGGTTGCGCTGCGCTGCTGCGCTGTTGTTTCCTTGCGCCTGTGCGCTGCTGCGCCGCTGCGCTGTTGTTAGGCTTCGCTTGCGCCAGTGCGCTGCTGCGCTGCTGCGCCGCTGCGCTGTTGTTATAGGTTGCACTTGCGCCGGTGCGCTGCTGCGCTGCTGCGGCGCTGCGCTGTTATAGGTTGCACTTGCGCCGGTGCGCTGCTGCGCCGCTGCGCAGAACAGGTAAGCTGAGCAATTGCGTCCCAGCATCGGAGCATCGGAGCGCAGAATGTCAACACAAGAGCTGCGGAGCGGAGTGGAGCATCGGAGCATCGGAGCGGAGGGTCGCGCAGCGGAGCGAAGTGCATGGAGCATCGGAGCGGAAGAGCTGCCGCACTAGATGGAGTGGAGCATCGGAGCGGAGGGCTGCGCAGCGGAGCGGAGCGGAGCATCGGAGCATCGGAGCGGAAGAGCTGCCGCACTATGGAGTGGAGCGGATTCGAGGGAGGATCGGAGCATCGGAGTGCAGGATTTCAGCAGTTGACAGGAGTGGAGCGGAGTGGAGCATCGGAACGTCGGAGCGTAGGGTTGCGGCAGCCGAGCACCATCAAGCAGAACTGATCCAACTGAATATAAAAGCACATGTGGGCTAGTACAAGCACCGGAGCGGAGCAACGGAGCATCGGAGCAGGAACGTTTACCAGGACACGCTCTGCACTCACTCTGCAATGTGGGTGAAACGAATGTAGACGCTCTGAGGCTGGAAAAACGGTCTGGAGAAAAGATTGTGGGAGTGTAGGGTGTTACCCCACAGATGAGTGAGATCCGTACATCCTTCCAAAATTGACTTCAGCTTTGGATTGGGTCGGAGACCATGGAGGATTGCCAGCATCATCATGCGTGTCTGGATGATGCGAAAACCCTGAAAGAGGTGGACGCTGTGAGTCATGGTGAAGGGGGTCAAAATATAGATGACGAGAGTCATCGAGTGGAGGATATGCAAATGGGATTGAAGCACCTTGTGCTTGAGTTTTCGACGAAGCTGAGGTGCTAGTCAATTGGCGAGGCTGATGGCTGCTGTCATGGCCTTGAGGAGATTGAGTGCATCATAGTTCTTTCCCAGAAGGCTGACTGGGATGCCCATCATCACGGCCACTCGTGTAACCGTCTCTATAGCCTCTGAGGGTTGATTGTCCCACCATTCCTCTGTTTTGGCAATATTGTCCATGAGAACCTTTCTCTTTGGATCCGATAGTGGGAGTTCTTTGAGCCATTTGCTGAACGCTCGACCAGCAAGAGTTGTTGGCATATGTTGAGCAAGCCACGGATTGAGGGTGGTCGTGCCGACCAACAGGGAGGAGGGATCGAAGCTGGGTGACGCAGGAGGTGCTGGACTGTTGGATTTTCTCAGGAGAGCGGCCTGGATAGGCGTTGCAGCGGGGCTGAAAGCAGAGGGTCCTGTGGGGCCCGGAGTGGATGGTGCAGCTGAATCGTCACCAAGCTGTTGGCGTAACTGGGCCAGTTGGCTGCGGAGCTGAGTTAGCTCATGTTGGGTATCAGGATCCGCTGAACGAGTAGGAACCCAACTGTGGATGAGATCAGCAATCTGTTGCGCAGCGTACTTGGTGTTGTTGGTCTTGTCCAGGAATTTCCCATCTTGTCTGGCCTTTGAGGAAGAGACCTTGTCTAGGTCGACGCCTTTGTTGCGGAGTTGAGTCAAGAGCTCCGTCATAAACACCACAGCCGCGATGTCCCCAGTCGGGATCAAGTATAGTTCACGTCCATGAGCCAGCTTGCGAAGCCACAAGTTGTTTGCCTGTTGATACAACAAGGCTGCCAACGGTAGTTTCAAAGGATCACACCCTTCGATATCCAGCTTTTGTGTGAAGGCAGATGGACGGATGGTCCGGGGAAATGTCAAGCCGTTGATCTTCTGGTTGTCGAAGTGATCTTTGTCCTCTTGCCAGGGAGGATTGAGATCAAAGCCATATGTTCGGACTTCATCAGTGGTGGTGTTGTGGAGTTCCAGCATATCGAGGTTGGGACGACGGAATGGATGGAGTGCTCGGTGAGGCTGCTTGAGTTGGTGGACATGGCAAGGTCGGTGAGCAAGGTGGAGAGGCCAAGCGAGGTGGAATTGGATATGGTAATGTAGGTGGAGGAGATGCTGGAGGTGCAGGTGGAAATCGTGGATTGGGCTGGAAACCCGCTGCGATGGATGGAATCTGACTCGTGGATGGACTCATTAGATAGGCTCCCGACTGTTGCAAGTTGAACTGAGCTCGAAACTGAGGTCGAGACTGAGGTCGTGACATGTGTTGTGAGTGCCAGACTGCTGCTTGCATAGGTCCACACCATCGAGAGAAGAAAGGTAGTTCTTGTCGGACAGGAGGATCTGGAGCTCGAGGTTCAGCACGATTGCGGCCAGGAATGGGAGAGCGCGAACGATCAGAGTCCGCCATGGGTGCAAACAGCGAGTTGAATGCTGAGAGGGGCAACAAAACTGCATGATCAAATCAACTCACTCACATTTGAAAGTGAAAGGTCAGAATTGACAGCAGAAAACCAAAAAACCAGTAAGATGCAAAACCTGAGTACGACCCACCAAGATCAGCAATAGAAATGCAGATCTGAATGCCAAACATCCGTGACTTTCCAAAACAGGAGAAGTGAAACCCAGATTGTGGCAGCCGTGCAATTTTGGTCAAACGCTTGTCCAGGGTGTACCTAGAAAAGTTTGTTTTCGGAGTCCTGTTTAGGCCGAAAATAACTAGTAATACAAGAAATCTGCTCAGTGCTGAGGGCCGGTCAGCGACGTCGACGTCGAGATTGACGTTCTTCATTCCCGCGATAAGTGCAGTCGTCTGAAGTAGACTCACCGATGTCAATCTTCATGGTGAGATTTGGCCACTTCAGAGCGATGAACTTCAATCCCACATGGTGGCTGTTGGCAACCGTGTACTTCTCGGACGTGGTGACGATGCCTTTGTCAGCCACACCAAGCTGAGCCATTTCATTGCCTCCAGCTTTGTACGCAGTGTGCTCAAAAGAGCCATGGTACATCGCCCCAACGATGATTTCCTGCTGGCCTTTGCCCTTTTTGCCAGCAGAATCGAGGAGTTCACGTTCTGCCCATGGTGGAATTGTGCTGTCGCTGTTGGACACGTGTCTTCCAAGGAAGAAGGCTCCAAAGGTAGGCAGTTCGCACCATTGATGGTTTTTGTGGTACGTCCAGTTTGCCGGTCTGATCTTACCCTCAAGGAGAATCTGTTGTGAACTGGTAAGTGAGGTGCCGTGAATCAGTGCCCAAGTGTAGTTTTTGTGTTTGCCGAAGGGAGGTGGCATCCGAAAGTGACTGGTATCTGGTAAGGGCATGATGAGGGCAATCATGTTGGTGGAGTGAAGTTCAATGGTGTAGCAGGTGGAGAGATCGTAATCAGGCAGGAGGTTGGTGCTGAAAAAGAGTTTCACCGCCCTCTGAACCACTTCCTGAGGGATCCGCTGGTCCACTCTGTGAAGTTCCTCACATGCCTTTTCATAAACTTCATGGTCCATTGTTGTGGACGCCTGAGGACACTCGGAAGCTGGGATCTCGTTGGCCGCGCGCATCCTGTCAGGATGGTCCAAGGCAAATTTTACGGCACGAGCCCAGTCTTGTCTGGATCCTGAATGGAGATCGATGGCAACATGTCCCGGAGGAACGTGGGTGGATGCACGAGATTGGATAGAACCTGACCGATGTTGAGGTCGACGGGATTGATGATGGGTAGTGTTGTGGCCTGAAGAGTATGCAGTGAGGGGTTTTGTGGATGGATCGTGGGAGAATTGATCGGTGGTTGATGGTTTGGAGTAGTCAATCCAACCAGAAGGGTCGGAGGTGCCGGAGCACGACTCCCACATACTGACGTCAAGCTCCTTCTTTTCGCTCCAGACGCAGCACGGTCAGTCACAGAGAAACAAACACAACAAGCAAACAAACAAAACACAACAGAAAACGCAAAGCGAGAAGGAAGCAGAATCGTTCGTGTTCCCTCTGTTGGTCTGTCTTATGCCAAGTTATGTGACACAGCAGCTTCTGTTCATTAAATGAACTTCTGACACCAGTCCTTCGAGCCGATGTCTCAACTGGTAAACTCGATTTCAGGTTTCCAGTTAACAAACCTCAAGTTCTTCAAACAAAGGTTTGTTGAAACTATTCCAGCTGCTAGGAGTCTACAAAACTCAATTTCACTAGATGAATTCAAAATCATCGAAACACTTCCAAAAGTTCTCAAAACAAACTGGTTCTCATCCAAACGTGAATAACCAGCTCATTAGTCAAACTTGTGACTAACTTCTCAAGAACGAAGTGATTCACATAAGGTGTCTGTACAACCTTCTTCTGGATACAAAGCATAGTCAGAACACAAAGTTCTTTTTCCAAATCAGTTCTCCACATAGAGATATACCGTCTCACAGTTTCCAATCTCAATGGAGAATAGAATGTTCTATTCGACATTGTCAATGTAGGTCAGCCAAATACAGTTGTATCGCTGAAGTCTTTCGACCACTGTAATAGCCAATTCACAATGTAGATCAAAGTCGTGTCAAAACAATGTCGTCCTCATAGAGATAACCAAAGTCATCTCAGGAACGATAAAAGCAAACCATAAGACCAAGTGTATGATCCATAGGCCACGATGACGATGATGTAGGTATTGTCCTCACAATACCGAAACATCTCATCACAAAACTCTCAGACAAATAAGATGCCCAAATATGATCATTGTCCTCACAATGCCAATGCATCTCAAGGTCCAAGTTCAAAGCATAGTAGGTTCTCTCCATCAGATATTTCCCAGCTAGCTTAAACTCTTCTCCAAGAGTTTATAGCTGTGTTCTCATCACTTGGAGAGAATGACCTTCTCAACGTCGAAGACACAATAAACAATTCCAATGTCAAACCAATGTAGGTATTTTCAGCTCAAGCAATAAGCTGTACCAGACTCAAGTCGAATCCAGAATAAGATGTAGAACTGATCCATATACCACAATCACTGGTCAACACTGATCAATGACATCATTCTGATGTCCGAAATGACAAGTCCGAAGACTAGTAGAATATTGTGACACAGGATGGTCACATCCAAGATTCTTCCCGCAATAAGTAGAGTGTTCTCTACCAATCTGCCATGACTTCTTGCAGTAACCTTCCACATATCCTCTGTGCATAAACTATACAACCAATGATGAATGGCATGTCGCTTCACCCTTACCCAAAGGGTGGTCTCACACAGGGTGTCAAATTTCCATAGGCGACAGCAAAGTTAGCGCAAAACAGCGCGCTTTCTGCAAGACGGGAAAAAGGCATTTGCATCCTCTGTTGCAACTCCGGT